AGAGAGAGAGAGAAGGAGGAGGAGGATAAGGAGGAGGAGGAGGGGGAGGAGGACGCCGAGGAGGAGGAGGAAAAGGAGGAGGAGGAGGATCTCTCCGTCACGCTCGGCCCCCGTCCCTCCCCCCGCTCTTGACGCCGAGGTCCCCCAGGGCAGCCTCGCCTCCGCGCGCGGCCTCTCCTAGCGCCCGCGAGGGCTGACAGAGGGCCCATGCGATTCAGGGGCAGCTCTGCACACACGGCTCAGCACAGGGACAAGGAGAAGCGACACCACCACGCCAGCGCCAGGGATGAGCGAACGTCCACAGGGACGCGTCACATGACTACACAATACAATCTTCAAAGCAAAAAGATTCGGGCCGCATGGCCTGCCTCCTTCGCCTAGTGCGGGCAATAGTTGTATCCATATCCAGGGCGTCTTGGACTTTCGTGGAATGGGCGCCGCAAGGCCGAGGCGCACTGGGTAATTATGGATAAAATTCGAGCCTCTAGTAGGGGCCTGATTTTTATCCATATCCAATGCTCCTCGGCTTTCTGGGGAAAGGAGTCCGAAACCCCAAGTTGCAGGGGAATGGTCACAAGTTTTCTCCGCACCTAGGTCCCTTCCGGGAGCGCCCGTATCCTTACCTCCAGGGGGGAGTCTTCCTGGTGGTGAGGTCCCCCCTCCCCGCTCGAGGCATCCCCTATCCCTGGCTCGTGGGGGACGTGGTAGGCCTCCTCACTGGAAGTGGTGACGTCGCCCTTCTCTTCTCCGATCTGTAGTCCGTCCACCGCGGCTGCACAGACTCTGTAGTACAGGCCGGAAGGTCAGCAGATGAACGCCACCACCAAGCCTCGACAAGCCCAGGGGTCGTCACACAGTCAAAGTCTTGCCGTCAAGGACCTGCGATGGGGAGCGAAGCCAGAGGGAAAAGCCTCGCAGCGCCCGAGGCGCCGCGGGCCTCTTCCCGTGTTCAAGGGCTCCAAATTCCAAGGCCTTGGTGCCACACGAAAGCGTTGCGTTGCCCGAATGGGTCCCGATCAAACTTGGCGATGGTGTTTGGCCGCCAACTTTCCAAACAAATGCCGTGACATGCCGTGCCGGCCCTCGGAAATCTGAATACGTGGGAAAATAGACGCACGCCCACACACACACACACACCTACGAACACGCCTGTCGCCTGGATGAGGGTACAGGAGGAGATGACAGAGACGAGCGACAGGGCTTACGAAAATTTGCATGCTCCTCATGCTGCGGCTCCTGCTGCCTCGAGTTGGAAAAAGCGTGGGCCAAGGAGTGTAAATTGACAGTGAGCAGGACGCCAGCCCATTCCCGACAACCTGCATGTCGCATACGCGTGCGTGGACACTGCGCCAAAGTCAGCACATCGATACGATGATATGCGATAAGAAGACCCTGACCCAACGAATCGAAGCGTGGGCCAGGCACCCCATAGCTCGCTCATGGTCTCGTTCCGCCGATACGCCACGAAAGATGCCGAAGCTACCCGAGACATCTGAAGTCTTACAACGGGTCCGCATTGTATGTGGACTTTCTGAAACCGAATCCTGCTGTGTGACACCTCGCAACCCTAGGGTTTAGGGTTTAGGGTTTAGGGTTTAGGGTTTAGGACTTCCGCAACGTTTGATGCATGACTGCCCCTTGCTCTGCCTCCTCATGTCCGTGCTCGGCTCGCCCTACTTCGCACTGTGCAGCCGTGCTGCAACTTGCGACGTGCCTGATGGGTGCGACAGGTGCGAACGTGTTACGATGGGGAGGGAGACACGAGGGAGGAGGGAGGAGAAAAACAGAACACAGAGCAGTTCCCTACTACACAGCTACACATAACTCGATGGTGCAACTCCATCGGCCCATCGGCTAGAAACGAACCCCTGACGACAGGTGCGGTTCGCAACACTTGCCCCCCACGCGCACACGCGGCGGCGTCAGACAGAGCCTCTGCGCATCTTGTCGTCATCCTGCGGGCTTGCCAGCGCAGAAGGGAATGCCGTAACCGATGCAGACGGACACAGGCGTGCGTTGCGCTACCTCGCGAAATCAATATATAATTTCGAACTTGGAGCTTGCAAACACATGAGCGACTCAACCTGATGGTGACCATCTCTGGATTCACATCGAGATTGGCACAGAACACATGGAAACTCTGACCAGGCCAAGAAGGGCAGGTGAGATAGCAGAATCGAGTCAAGCCTGTGATCTAGATATACCTGCCCACTCATCAACACTCGATGGGCCCGCCAGACGGCCTGTGAGGCCAAGTGTGAATGGTGGATGGGCGGATGCTGTCGATGATGCCTTTTGATGAACTAGCCAACTCCTGTGCAGCTCAGCTTGGGCCGTTGGTAAACTCAGCTCCGTTGAGACCTGAATGTTGTCGCAGAGTTCGACATGGGTGTTCCGGTTTCTGTGCGTAGTCTTATCGAAGATAGCGCGGCCTTGGTTCCAGCTGGTAGCTTCCGCGTCGCTTCGCGTTGGCCTTCGCTGGAAAGCACTACGTTGATTGACCGCTTCCTGAGGCTCTAACCCTATAGACACATAGATATGTAATGCCAAGAAGTCTCAGGACTACAGCTGTGTATATCCAACTAGGCTGGTACGTCGATGTCCCGCGCGCGTTAGCGTTACCGTGAGTTCTGGACTTCTGATATGTAGCCTGGGCGTCAGCGCTGCTCGCACGCACTAAACAGCTGAGCGCGGAATTGCGTTCGGACAGGATTGAGCGTGATATGGCTTTACTTTGCGCTGGGTCGCAGTAGCTAAGCTCATCGATAGCCCAGCTTGCCGTAGCCTGACTTAGCTTAGCTTTGCCACAGTGTCACCATGAGGCTTGAATGCGACTTCAACGGGGCGGATGCTGCACAACATGGCGCCGCCAAACCTGGTCATAAGCAAGTATGCCTCGCCGCAGGGGCACCGTTCAGCACGTTCGACCTCGTTAGGCTGGACCATATATATATATATATATATGTAGATAAAGCGGGGGGACCGTTCAGCACGAACGACTGATCCGCTGGCAACGCCTACATATTCAACCTGTCTTGGAAGTGTTCGCGCCCGAGGGACTCACGCAGGAGGATCCGTCGGCGGGGGCTGTCAAACACGGCCTCAGATGGGCACCCCTTCGTGTTCCCGGTTCTCCACTTCCTCGTTCCACATTCCCCCGTCTTCCCCCTCCTGTCCCGACCAGCAGATACCTAAAACAAACGCCATTGATATAGAAGATATGGGGGCGCATGTGCTATCGAACCCTACGCTGCCTAAGGTGAACCCAGACTTATGCGGGTCCCTGGGGCCATCTGAGGGCAGTGCCGATCCGAAGGATCAGAACCTTCAGCCAAGATGGCCACGTCCCTACGGCATCACCTCGCCGAGATCTGCATCCCTCACACGGATCGTGCCCCATACTTGAAGTGAGCACCACCTGCGGCCCCAATGGCCTCGTCCATGTGGCGTCACAGCGCTCAATGCGGCACACCCCTCACACGGATGTTGCCTGTAGCTCCAACTACTGCCCCAATGGCCGCGTCCCCATGGCGACACCTCCACCAATTCGGCACACTCCTCACAAGTTGCGTGCTCCATGGAGAGCTGCTGCAACAAGGTGCCCAATGGTCACGACCCTACGGCGTCCCTGCCTCCATGCGGAGCACTCATCAGGCAGATCGAGCCCCATAGGGAGCTCCAACTCCCTCGCCACAGACCCGAACTGCATACCTAACAGATCAGCCAAAGGCCAATAAGGAAGGAGGTGGGGTGAGCCACCGACGGGACAACCATCGGGACAATCGCCACCACCCATCGAGCAACCTCCATCGGTCTACCTATCCACTATCTGGTTACATGTATAAGTATAGTTACATTACACAGAAGACCAAGTACATGCATACACGCGTGTGCAGAGGTGCGTGAGGCATATGTCTATATGCATATACATGTTCATGTGTATACATACACCTGCATGCCTAGCAAACAATATAGATATGTCGATCCCACTTTGCAGCTATGGAAATGACTGGAAGCAAGACTTCGGCATCTGCATGCCATGACTGCTATGCCTGTATGCATACACAAACAGGTGCCCGTCACTACCAATACGACACCCAGTGTGTCGACGATCTACAACACGGGATACATACAACTGTGGGTACTCATATGTGCATGCATGTATGACTCTAGGTGTGGGTATATGTATGTATGCATGTGTGCATGTTTGTATGTATGTATGTATGGATGAATGGATGGAGGGATGTAGGTCTTATGTATGTATGTGTATGTCTGTGTATGTGCGCATGTATGTGTGTACGTACGTACGTACGTAAGTACGTATGTATGTATGTATGTATGTATGTATGTAGGTATGTATGTATGTGTGTATGTATGTATGTATGTATGTATGTATGTATGTATGTATGTAAGTGTGTGTGTCGGTGTGTATGTATGTGTGTGCGTGTGTGTATGTGTATGTGTATATGTGTATTTAGATGTACATGTGTATACGTGTGTAGGCTTGTATGTTATATATATAGATGTATCTATCTATATATATATATATATGCATACACATGTGCATCCGCCGACCGTCTGGCGTGTGTGAGACGCTTTTCCGTTTGAGTCGTCGTCGCTGGCGTCGTCGTCGTCGTCAGGCCCAAGGGAATTCATAAACAAGGAAGAAGAACGACGTAGTTAAGTCGATTCCCTTCCCTTGTTCCCTTCCCTGACGGGGGGGGGGCTGGTGAGAATGCCGCCCCCCCCAGCCCCCCCCCTGGGTCCCAGCGGGTCCTGGGGGGGGTCGCCAGCGGTGGTCTTGCGGGAGGTCCCAGCTTCAGGGTCGGCGGCACTGGCCGTAAGTCTTTCGCAGTATGTACAGATGCACATGTATAGATGTTGATGTCTTCATCTACCATAATACCGATATCACTGCATATGTATTCATGTACGTAATTCTGTCATGAATGACACTAGCGAGTTGGCGATCCGGCAATCTATACATATATGTATACTATATATATGTATATAACGGTCGCAAGATCAGTTCATGTGTCGAATATATAAATATATATATACATACATACGTACCGAACCACCATGTACCGAACCACCGACCATGACTCTAGGATAATTGTGTCAGGACAGCCATCGGGACAACCATCGGGACAACCAGCGAGACACCCATCGGAACAACCATCGGGGCAACCATCGGGACAGCCGTTGGGACAACCACGCTGCAGCCTGCGGGGCAACCGTCGGGCCAACCGCGGAGCAATCACGCGACAACCGCGGGACAACCCCGTCCCATACTCTCCAGCTTGACGCGGGAGGGACAATTCTGCCCTGACTCCTCCGCCGAGGACGGCGGGATCGCTCCCCCCCCGCCCCCGCGCACGCAGCCTCGCTGCGGCCGCACGCGCGACGCGAACCACGAGACCGAACCCGATTTTCGGCGGCGAGCGAGGGGGGGAAGTGAGAAGGAGAAGTTTTGGATTCGAGGTTCGAGATTTTCGGACGTGTTCGTCGGTACTCGGCGGTTTTCCAGCCTCGGGATGCGTTCCAGCGGCTGCGCCTCGCCGAGAGCGTTTCGGGGGCGCCTGGATCGTCCCGAACGGCCGCCAGAGACCCGAGATAAAACCGAAAAACAAAAATCGATGGCGAGCGAGTGAGAAGGAGAAGGCCTTCTCAGAAGGCGGCGGGACTTCTCAGAAGTTTCTCTTGTCTTCGAGGAAGGCTCAGAACACTTCTCAGAAGACAGGGGGACTTCCGAAACTTCTAAGAGGGACTTCTCCTTCTCAATTCCCCCCCTCGCTCGCCGCCGAGATTTCCCTCTGGGGGGCCTCCGTTTCACTTCGATCTCACTGCCCCACCTCTGAGTGCGGAGGGCCAGAACCCGCGCTACTCGCAACTGCGGAGGGCGAGCATGTCTGGGGCCTCTGGGGCCCCTGGTCGACGACAGGCAAGAGGTGGCCGTGGGCAGGAGTGAGCTCTGGTGCGCGCGGCCCCGGGTTGCCGAGGGGAGGCCAAATCAGAGCGCGCAGGCCACTGCTTGGGGGGGCCCCATGTGGGCCCGCGCCGGAGAGGTCACTCCGGCGAGCTGTCACCCTTCCTGTGGCTGCTCATGGGAGTCTCGCACAGCACCTTGCTGGCTTTTGCGAATCGGCAACGCTCAATCGACGCTAATGGACGCGTCATCGGCGCATTCTCATCAATTACCAGACGCTAGCGCACGCGAGTGCACTCTAAGAACGAGACTGCGAGGGCGTACAAGGCTCCCAGGAACTCGCCAACGCTCGCAAGTCCAACCCCCATGCATTATTCGGCTTCGTGCGCCTGTCTTCTCGCAGGATGATCCAAGATGCTCCTCGATGGTCCTCGCCGAAAAAATGCAGACGACGGGGCGATGCCAAGTTTTGGCGCGCGCACAATTTGTGACAATGGATGGGGTAGGGGGAGGGGGGAAGGCTTCTTAGAAGGAGGCTGCTTCTTGGAAGACGCTGGCCCTACAACTACCGACAGGACCCGCGCCTTCCAAAAAGCAGCGGAGAAGCCTTCCCCCCGCTACTCCCCCCTGCGCGTGGCCGCAAGAGGAGTGGCCACCGGACCTGACGCGCAGGCGATCGGAACCAGACGTGCGCGCGCGCGGCTGGCCGAGGTCCAGCCAGCCGCTGGCGATGCCCGCCAGCGCGGCGCCGGCCGGCACCGCCGAGAGCACGGCCACGCCGGTGCCCGCCACGCGGAGGTACGGGGGCGACAGCATCGTGCCAACTGGCGGCCGCGCCCCGAGGTCCCCGGAAGGCGAAGCCACGACGAGGACAAGATCGGGCGAGGACAAATCGATGACCGCTGAGATCTGGAGGATGCTTCGGGCGCCGCGGCCTTCTTGGAGCGTTCCGGGCCGCTCTGAGACGCGGTCTTGCCCCGTGTCGGGCCCCGGGGGTGCCCACGGATCGATGCAGCTCGAATGATGCAACAGAGAGATGGGGTCCATGCAGGGCCCTGTTCGGTTTGCTCGCGATGTTGTCCAGCCAAAAAAACACTGCACAAGGCTTTTGCAACTGTTCGGCCTCTGGGGCCCTTTGCCAGGCCTCGAGACCGTCAACCAAAGCTCAGGATGAAAAGCTGGCCCTGGGGAAGGGTCCTGGGGGGGCCCCATATGGCGGGCTCGAAGTCCTGCGCCCCCCTGACATTGCAATCTCTCTGGAGTGCATCTTCTCCCTCCGCCAGGCTTCGCGCGCGGAGCCGCCCAAGTTCTATGTCCGGCGGTTTCCGCTGGCCCTCCGCCGTTTTTCTTCGCCGAGGGAGAGGCGTCAGCTCCTTCGACCCTCCCAGGGCTGAGGCCCTCTCCGGAGCGCCGCCCTGTCGAGCCCCGCGGGTTGACGTGTTCCTCTCGGGGCTCCTGATCGGAGGGCGCCCGCTGCCACCGCCGGGCCCGCCTCGGCATTCCAGCCAGGAGGCGGCCCCGGGAGGGGATCCGGGGGCCGACGTGAGAGCCCAAGGCCCTCTTCGCGTCGTGCAGGGAACCGTCTCGAGAGCAGGGGGGCGAGGAGCAGCACGAGCAGGACGCCGGGGAGGACGAGGGGTGGCATCATGGACAGTCGGCGACGAGCAAATCTGGATGACAAGGGGCCCCTTGTCAGAGCTGTGACTGGAGAAAAAACTTGAACCAATAATTACATAAACAAGACATGGAGAAATAATAACATAAGCAAGCAGGTCAAGAAAACAGCGGACGCGGCACGGAAATATTGAATAGCTGTGTGCGGGGGGGGCACGGGAAACTGCAGCATTCTCAACAGGACGGTGGTTTCGCTTCCCGCCCGTCCACGACCTCCTCCTGCTCCCCATCCACCTCCACTTTTTCTAGTTCCCCCTCTTCTTCCTTCTCGTTTTGAAGTCATGGGCGACGTGCACGGAGACGACGGCGACGATGACGTCGACGGTCGACGACGACAAAGGCGACGGCGACGGCGACGAGGACCAAAACCACGACGTGGATCACGAGAAGAAGCAAGTCAGAAGGAGGAGGAGGATGTTGTTGTGGACGTAAGTCAAAGCCAAGTGCTGACTCCCGGGCAGCAGCGGGACCGAACGAGGGCCCGAAAAAGGCGAGCGGGCGAGGGCAAAAGAGAAGACGCCACGGTGGAGGGACAAGGACCGAACGAAGAACCGAGGCCCGAGACCCGCAGGGACGGCCAAGCGAGGCAACATCAGCAGGTACGGCTGGTTCGAGTCGTGTCGACCCCGGCATTGGTTCCCCACACCGCGGGGATCGTTCAACCTTGAACGATCGGTCATTCCCGACACGTCAGCATCGTTCAACAGCAACCGGTTCTGGGCCGCCGCCGGCGTTCAATCTTGAGCTCTTGCGGCCGACGTCGCCGCCGGTCGGCACGACTCGAACCTACCGTAGTGTCTCTGACTTCGAGAGACCTAAGTCCTGCGGCGGCCATCGGCAGCGGAATGTGTTGTCTTTGTGCAGGACAGCCCCATCGCCACCGACTCTTCACGCCTCCCCGCCCACAGCGAACAGACAGGAAAGATGGGACAGCGTTCGGCCCTGACGCTTCGGGTGGCAGATCCCGCCATGGATTGGCCATCGGCGCGGCCCAAGAGGTGACAAGACCGAGCAGGAGGAGGAGGAGGAGGAGGAGGAGGAGGAGAAGGGGGAGGAGGAGGAGGAGGAGGAGGAGGAGGAGGAGAAGGGAGGAGGAGGAGGAGGAGGAGGAGGAGGAGGAGGAGGAGGAAGAGGAGGAGGAGGAGGTGGAGGAGGAGGAGGAGGAGGAGGAGGAGGAGGAGAGGAGGAGGAGGAGGAGGAGGGAGGAGGAGGAGGAGGAGGAGGAGGAGGATGAGGAGGAGGAGGAGGAGGAGGAGGAGGAGGAGGAGGAGGAGGAGGAGGAGGAGGAGGGGGAGGAGAGGAGGAGGAGGGAGGAGGAGGAGGAGGAGGAGGAGGAGGAGGGGGAGGAGCGGCGCGAGGGACTGGGCAGGCAAAGGTGGCGACGGCGGAGGAAGAGGGTGGGTGGCAAGGTGGTGGAATGTCAGGCCCACGCAAGATGAGAACCACGAAAACCCATACGGTGTGCCTTTGAGGTGTGGTGGCGGTAATGTTGGTGGTGGTAGGGGGGTTGGGGGGATTCGGGGGGGGGGGAAGCACTGGACAATGCACGACCCGCCCCCACTGGCAGTTCCTCCGCGCCCAACACCGCCCTGCCCGCCACCATCACCGCGCCCTCCGCCCCCCCCCCCCCAAGCCTCCCTCCCCTCCGCCCATCGTCCCAACCCCGCCCCCACCCACTGGCGCCCCTTTGAAAACGTCACACGCGAAGGAACACGCGCAAAACGCGATTCACAACCACGTATAAGTTCGGAACCCGCTGTCGCTAATGGGGGGGGGGGGGGGGGGGCGAACGCAAATCTGCACCACATAAAGACACAAACATACTGACACACACACACACACAAACACGCACACTCTCTCTCTCTCACACACACACGCACACACACACACACACACACACATCGGAAGTCAATCGTGACACGCGGCGGCCTCTGGACCGCCACCCGACCCGAAAGCAATATGAAGCCGGCACTTTGATTCTCGAGATGGGCATTACGTCGCCGACGTCGCAAAAAGCCTGGCAGCAGTGGGGCGCGGCACGCATCGCCCGCGAAAGGGCGACATGTCGCTCTCTCCTTGGTGCCGCGCCCACTTTCGCCCGCCAACTCGCCGTCGCGCGAGCGGACGAAACTCACGCGCTCGCCCCAGCACCGCTCAGGTCTCGCCTGCTTCCGGCGATGCCGTCTCGGCTGTCGGCGCATCTGTTCCATTCGCTGGGTCGTTTGTGGCGGGGCCGCGCGCGGACGCGCGACTCGTCGCCCTCAACACATGCCGTGCAGAATTCGCACGGAAGCGGCGCTGCCGAGTGGGTGCGGTGTATGTTCTGCTCGCCGAACCGCAGGACAGCGGCAGCAGGAGAAACGCTGTCCTCGCCGAGACACCGTGCTGCTTGCGCGTGAGAGTGGCGATGCTGTTTCGGCGCGGGGCATGCTTCGTCCTCGCCGCGCTCACCGGAAGCGTGGCCACCCGAGAGAAGGTTAAATGATCACCTCACCGCAACGCCGCGCAGAGTGTTTCTGGAATTACGTTCCCGTCCGTGCGCTGCCCGCGTAGTTCTTTCCCTCGCCAAGCTGTCGGAAAGCGGGACAATGCGCGAGCGCGTTCGTTCTCTAGGTGCTAGGTGGGAACGCGCTCCAGTCCGAAAACCAAGTCGTGCCATCATCGAGTTCTGTTGTGGGAGGGTGGAATGGGGCTGGGCCCGCTGATTCGTTCGACCTGGCGAACTTGACTCTGACTCCTACTCACGCTGTGTTACCTCTACTCCTATGCATCCTGCTATTCCTGTGTCTACCCCCACATGTACGAATGTTCGGAGTGACACGAATACCCACATGGCAACCCGTGCTCATACTGGTCTGTTATATCTATATATATACAGTAGATGTATATGTCATGACTGTCAACGGCTCCCTACTATGATACACTGCGGGCACCGAAGAAAACCAACATCAAAATGTATGTCCAGCTCTCCTGGGAGAGTTAGGAACCAGGCTCCACCCCATCATGCTCCAGGTCTCTTCTGCTCATACAGCATCTCTCCTTGGGCAGTTGTCATCCTGGTGCTCTCCTTCATCATCTTCCTCTATTCCTACGATGGTTCATAATGGTTCTCACTCACCAGCATCGTACCTCCTCTTCCTCATGTTCACAACTCCTCCCCCTCCTCCTTCCGCTTCGCGGCCCTGCCCTGCTTCGCGGCCCTGCACCTCCTTATTGTCACTGCTCCTTCCGCTACGCTTCCCGTCCCCAGGGATCCTACTCTTTCTTCGTCGCTCCGCCGAACCGGGTTTTACACCGACAGAAAAAAAAACAGCGCAAGAAGAAGTGTGATGCCAAGCATCCCGATGTCCCTTGGCACCTACGCACAACCAGATATGTGACCAGGCATGTATCCACCTCCAGATCCCTGGTAGCAGGAGTCATACAATTGTTTTTGGCAACAGTGTGTAGTAGGAATGGAGTCGTAAGAAAACGTTAGTCTGAGAATCAATTGTCGGGAGATGGACTAGACCAATTGTAAGCGCAGCAGCAATAGCAAAACAAACTGGCACAATTAGTAGCAGCAACACTAGGGACAGCACAAAAGAATTGAGGACAGCAATTATTGTGATAGGACGCTCGCTTTCATAAACCATCCGTTTCCCAAGAACGACTGTGGCAAGGAGACAAATGCAGCGAAGGTCCAGTCCTCACCAACGGTGCTTCACCAGCGGTGGACATACCCCCAGGGGCGGCCAAGAGGGGGGCGTCCAAGAGGGGGGGGCGCAAATCATGGCCAGCGGCATGTGCGCGGCTCAAGGGGGGGCCAGGGACGTAATGAAATAAGGAGAGGCGCCATGACATCCAGAGAAACATCATGGCCCACGAAATGATAATATTCACCCCCCCTAGTCTTCACCTCCCCGCGCCCTCACGGTCTTGATTCCGGGGAACGATCCAGCGGATACGCGGTCGCACGGACACGTTCCGCGCGAGGCATTCGGGACAAAAGAGCTCCGCATCGGCAGGGTCGCGGCCAGGGGGCTGGCACGCGAGGCCGCGGACACAGATCTGCGGTTCGACCACGAGCGCTTCCGGAAATGGAGGAGGGGGTCAAATTTGTGCTGAGGGTCGGGAGAGAATGATGAGAGAAGAAGAGGCAAATCAGGAGGATCGGGAAGTTGGGCAGGCCTAGGGAGGAAAGAGCACAGAGCAGACATGGGGGCGACGAAAAGCACCTGCTCCGCCTATAGCGGGAGCCATGCACAGCGACATGGTCAGCTGATTCGTCAGCCTCCAGCGGCCGATAAGCCTGGGCACCCCCAGATGCTGGCGCACCCCCCCGATCATCCCCCCTCTTCCCTCCCCTCCACCTCCTCTCTCTCTCCTGTTCTGACTGTCTCCTCCTGCCCCCCCCCACCCCCCCCCCGTCCCACTCTCTCCTCTCCCTCCTCCCTCCTCCTCCCTTTCCTCTCCCTCCTCCCCATTTCCCTCCCCCCACTCGCCCTCTTCTTCCTAGCAGCGCACACCGGGGCCGTCGGCGGTGGGGGGCTCGCAGATGGCTCCGCTCGTGTGCGGCCCAGCCCACTTCAGTCACCGGGAGATGCCTCCCTGGGTTCCTCCGCCTGGCCCGTCAACGCCCAGCATATTTCTTGTGGGGGGCACGGTATCCCTGCCAGGCCCCAGGCCGATCGCTGCCTGCGCAGGTGCGCAGGCATGTGGTGGCGACCTCGCAGCTCGCAAAAGGCAGGTCGCAGCGGCGCTGCACCTGCGACGCGGCGGCGGCGGAGAGAAGACACTGTGCGCACTCTGGCGCCAAGTGGCGGCGCGCAAAAGGAGGCTAGGGGGAGGGGGGGAGGGCTTCTTAGAAGGAGGCTGCTTCTTAGAAGACGCTGGCCCTACATCTATCGATAGGGCCCACGCCTTCTAAGAAGCAGGAAAGCTTGCAAGAAGCCCTCCCCCCTCCCCCTCGTCTCCTTCTGCGCGCGGCTGAGCACGATGCAAAAACGAAGACCAGATTGGGACAATTCGGGCCTCTGAGATCCGGCAGCTCTGGGAGATGTATCCGGCGCCGCGGCCGTTCCACAGGACTCTGACGAGCGCTCTGGGGCGTTCCGAAAACGCTCTGGGACGATGTATCCCGGTTCAGGCCCCGCCCAATATCGGGAAGATTGTGGATTATGGGTGGCAGGGCGGATTTTCTTTTTTTTTGGGGGGGGGGGGGAGGGGGCAGAGGCGCGCCAATGGCGTCGCCCCTCTGGCCCCTGGGGCGGGCTGCTGCTGGGGGAGCGGCCGCATCAGCTGCAGCCCGATGCGGCAGCGGGGCGAGGCGCCCAGAGAGGGGGGTGCAGCCTTCCGGGCGCGGGTCGCAGCGGCCGGGGTCGGGGGATCGCGCCGCACCGTCGGTGCGGCACCGATGCATCGGCGGTGCGTCGGCGGCGTCGGCGATGCATCGGCAAGATCGGCGCGGAGCACGTCGGGCTCCACATGGAGCCGCATATCGCCGATGCCGCGGCGGTGCGGCGCAACAACTCCGACCCCATCCGAGAGGCCCAGAGAGGGAGAGAGAGAGGGAGCGGCTGGGCGCAGGGCGCGCGACCGAGCGCTGGGTGGAGCCTCTGCGCTGCGCGACCAGAGGCTGGAGGAGCACCAGGCTGGCGAGCCAGAGCGATGCATCCAAGACTGGCCCGGGCCCTGGCGGCAGTGGCAGGCCAGGGCGGCACTCCGACGGCTGCAGTGCCGGCGCTGGCGAGGGGCGCCGCGGCCAAGGGCAGGGAGGCAGCCCAGCCCAACACGCAACGCACTCGCACACATTGCTGACCGAGGAACCGTGCACCCAGAGATGGAGGGCAAGGCCGGGCGCCCGCGGCGGGGCCCATGTGATGTCGGGGGGGGGCCGGGGTGATGTCGGAGGGACGTCGGTGAAGCGTCGAGGGAGTGTCGGGGGAGTGTCGGGGGAGCGTCGGGGATGTGTCGGGGGAGTGTCGGGGGGAGTGTCGGGGGGAGTGTCGGGGGGAGTGTCGGGGGAGTGTCGGGGGAGTGTCGGGGGAATCCAGACACACTCACTGCAAGACTACGGGCATCGACCTGCGAACACGTGCACCACAATCCCAGCAGCAAGCGGGTCTCTGTGGGAAGAGCCATCGGACCCCGTGGAAAAAATATCCTGCGAAGTCCCTCGAAGACCCTCGGCGAGCAACTCGGCAGGCTCGAGCAGCAAACCACATTCGGAAATCTCAGCTCCGCCGGCACCGAGAAGACTGGCGCCAGACTGTGAACCAGGCAACACGTGCGGTGTAGATGGCACGAACACGCGGTTTCCTTCCCCACCGCGGCGGCGACAAACCAGCTGGCAAGCGGCCACCGAGCCAGACAAACATGAGAACGACGTGCGGCCCCTACATCGGACGCTCTCGAACCGTGGCCGGCATGGCAGCGAGCGAGCGAGCAAGACTTGGCCCGGCACGTGCCAAGCAGACGCACCAGCGCACGCAGCCGCACGCACCACCCACCCCACCGCCATGAACAGCCTCGATCATCTTGGCGAGTGTCCGATCACATTCGACCGCTGCCCTGGTCGTACGGGGACGGGGGGTATATCGACCCCGATGCCTGACCGTGTGGAGTCTGCGACTAGACAAGGAAGTGCGGGGCGGCACGAACACTGACGACACGGTTGTTCACTCGATGCAATACCACCCTCTCATCCACGTCCCCCTCTTCATCCTGGCCCTTGATCCGCATCGCCTCACCCTTCCTCCATGTTTCCTCTGCTTTGCCGGGCATCGGGCAACCCAAGGCATCCTTCCAGGTATCCTACTCTGGTGGGCCGCGGAATGGCGGAAGCTCTTAGAGCATAAGGATGTAAGCTTGTCCAACACAACTCTCGAGCAAACGAGTCAAACTCGTCCTCAAAAATACCATCCCAAAAATACAATCACTGCAACATATCATGAGTCGTGCTGGCTGCGAACGCAAACACATCATGTCAACTACTCCTCTAGCACAATCCATATCCCCCTTGCCCCGTCTTCTCTCCGCTTCTTCGCTTCACGGCCTGGAATGCTCAACTGGTTGCCCAAGAAACCCTGAGGCCAGAAAAGTCCAATACGCAGTGCGGCCAGATGTCCTCTGCCCCTCCCCGAAACAGCAGCACATGAAAGAAGGCCACTGCCCAGAAGCCTCGAGAAGATCGCAGTGAAAGGGGCCATGAATAGGATCTGCGCCTTGATCCCCAGCATCAGCCCAACCTCAGCAGAAGGCGAAGCATTATAATCTTCTGAGCCGGGTCCTGGAACTGCTGGCATAAAGATACGATCCGGAAGAGCCCCGTGATAAAAGCATAGGAGGAGATCCGCTCGCTTTTCATGCGTTGGGGCTGGACCTCCACATGTATTACTGCATCCCAGGTGTGATACTACCTCCGCATGTACTGCGTCTTACACACATGGCGGGTTCCCAAAACCCTGAACCAAAAAACCTTGCCATCTCTTGGGAGGGCGAATTTTTCTTCTGTCGCCTTCCGCAGAGCTTCCGGCGGCTTCCGCTATGGCGGAGGCGCCTTCGCTTGGCTTCCGTCGTCTTCCGCCGAGGAAGAGATATCAACTCCTTTGACCATCCGAGGCTCTTCCTTAAATTCCTCACATGACGCTACGGCCTCGTGCAGCCCGCCCAAAACGGCACGGGTACGGTTTCTCTCTCTCTCTCTCTCTTTATTTCTTTATGTCTTTCTTTCTTTCTTTCTCTCTCTCTCTTTCTCTCTCTGTCTCTCTCCTTCTCTCTCTCTCTCTCTCGTGTCGCCCCGGGCGCACGAAGCGCGTCAGGGCGCGGCACAGGAGGCGCCGCGAGGGCCTCGAGGGGCTGCGGGGAGGGGGTCCAGCGCCGCCCCCAGAATGCCGTGCCGAACTCGGGAACCACAAACTGTTGGCATGCAACGGGTCCCGAGGGAAACGCGTCCCGGACCCGAGGGCTTTCCTCTCGGATCACCTCTCCACCCTGAACAAATCATTGTTACGGTCCCGGGGCGCGGGAATGGCCCCGGGACCGCAGGGTCTGTCCCTCCTCTGAAATGGGGCTCCACGTCAAGCCGCGGTCAGAGAGAGTGGCGATGGGAGAGCAGCCGTCCCTCAGAGAGGCAGCCGTGGCCCGAGGCCCCCCCCCGCACGAGGGGGGGGGCTGCACGATTCGCTCCTGTAAGGGCGAGGCCGCCAGCATCGCAGAGGCTGGAGGCCCGGAAGTGGGCACGAGCACCAGCACAGGGGTTTGCCTCCTCCAGGTGACGAGCGAACAGGACACACCCACACCCATGGGAGGGTCGGAGGGAGGAGGACTGGCCATGGGCATGGGTGCGGGTCGTCGGACCCTGGGGGAAGCTCCCGGTCGAGCCGGGAGCCCCATTCGACAGCACGCACACACGTGGCCCAGTCCGTCCCCCCTGTGGGTATGGGTGCGTGCTGTTCGCTCGCCACCAGGGGGAGGTGATCCTCGATCCTGGTGTCAGTGGTCATACTGTCGGACAGGGGAAAGAAGAACATCCTTCAAGAACATGGGGCCCTCCGCCAGCCAAACTTAAGAGCATTCGATGGTGCCCTCCCCCAGGGTGCACAAGAACATGCACAAGGACAAAGAACATCAGGGTACCCTCCCCGAATCGACCTCGATCTTATACCTCGGTCCGACCGTATGTCGGCAACCAGGGGAGCTCTCACAGTACAACCTTCAACGAAATCGGGGTCATCTTCCTTCGGCGGAGGCACACCGCCGACATTGGCGCTGGTGCCACACCCTCCAGGGGTCCAAACGCACCTGGCTCCCGAGCTAAGTCCAGCAATGGCGACGCTCGAGGGGGCCACGAAGGCCAAGTACCGTTGTCTCAACTCGCCCTCCTCTTGCCCACCGCGACGCATCTCGACAGCCGCCGATATGATTTTTTCAGTGCGCGACCCCGAGGAGGTCCCGACCCCATCCCCAGGGCCAGTGCTTGCCTCGCGTCCCCGGGCACACCCTCTTTATGTTTGTGTTTGGCGGGCGGAGGGTCTCTTCTTCTTGAGGACATCTGAAGAACAAGCGCCACCTCTCTTGGACTCCATTTCCCACGCGAGAGAATTCGAAATCTTGGCTGGACCCTGGGCGCTCTCTTGGAGTTGTTTTTGGCGCAGAGCCTTCGTATATCTGTGCCTGGACAACTGTTTAAGAAAACGCTTCGAGTGATCTCCGCTTTTTCTGGCTTGAACTTGCTAAACTCTGAGCAGGGGGGAGTTAAGTTTCTTCGGAAGTCCGCTAGGACTTTCATATATTCCGGCCTACCTGTTCTCGGGCCCCGGAATCATCAAGAACTGAGGGGCCTCGCGAACAGCATGGCAGCAGCCTGCGCGGAACTCGCGGGCACTCGGCTCACGCATTGCACGGCAGCTCCCGGGCGGGCGATCCATAGTGGAGCCGAGAAGGTCTCCAGAGCACCCCCCGCTAGGCCCAGAGTAAGACGAACCCAGGACGAGTATAAATTCAGGGGGGAAACGAGATCATCTGAGATCCAGCGGCTCTGGAGGATGTCTTGGGCGCCGCGGCCTTCTCAGAGCGTTCCGGAACGCTCTGAGAGCGTTCCTGAATGCTCTGGAACAGATCTATCCTCGTCCTAGCCTCGTCCGACAGACATCTGACGACCTGATTCTTTCAATGCGCGGCCACCACAAAATGCCGCCCCGTCCCCCAGGGAAAGCTCTTGTCGTCGCGGCTCCAGTTGACTGTCCAGCATGGCCGATATCGAGGAAAAACGCTCGGATCGAAAATAATCCCATATTGGAGCGAAGGGCAAGGGGCGCCGTGGGCCATGGGCCGCCCCTGGCAGCCCCTGGCTGCGAGCGACCCATACATAATCTCAAGCCTGGGCCGACCCTGCACAGAACTGGCCCAGCCCTCGGTCAGGGTTTTGCCCCCCAGGCCACCACGACGCGCCACTCGGAGAGAGGTGGCAGGCTGAAGACCAGGGTGCCGAGGAAATACCTGGACGGCGGCGGCGGGGTGGGCGGGAGGAAGGGGGAGCCAGGGGGAAGGGGTGATGAGGATGAGGGCGGGGGAAGAGCAGGGGGAAAAGAGGGCATGATGAGCACACTGGCGAAGGAGGAGGGAGGAGGAGGGGGGGAGAGGAGAAAGAGGAGGAGGAGGAGGAGGAGGAGGAGGAGGAGGAGAGGGAGGAAGAGGAAGAAGAGGAGAAGGAGGATCGATCGATCGATCGAGCTCTCGGGCCTGTCTGGGGTTACTGGACTACGACTAGTACAGTGACCCTTCAAAATTTCTAACGCGGCCTAGCTATGATCACTTTCTGGAAAGAGGGACGCTGGCGCCACGGGGCGCTCGGGCCCTACCTGCACCGACCTCCCCTACGCAGGGGTCCGCGGGCAGGGTCGCACCCGCGTTTACGGGTGCCCTCTCGCGTTTTCCTCTCTACCCCTCCCCTTCCCCCCTCGGCCCTTGCCTGTTCGTTTGGGTTCGGGGGGGGGCGGTGCGCTACATAGTACTCAGAAGAGCGGCCCATGGAGTTGGAAGAGGGGAGGAGCCTCGGTGGGCGGCGGAAGAGGAAACCGACCTTCCCTGAGTAACTGTCGGAATCGCTCACTGGTTCGAAGAAGCTGAGGCACTGCGATGGGGGCAGCGCCAACTCAGCGCAGCTGCACTGAATGCTCGCGGTCGCTCTCATGGCCTTCGGCCTCACCATGACTGCGTTCCTTCCCTGGCCCTTGCGTTCTGGTATCCTGCTGCAGGGCGCCCGCTGATGTCGCACAAAACTGATGCTGCACCAGCTGGCGTCGCACGAAACTGACCTGTGTCCAGCCGGTCACCGTTGGGAGCCGCACCTGCTGGTGTCGCACACAACTGATCGGTGTCCAGTCGGCCATTCTCTGTCGTATTGCTCGCGCCCCGTCGGTGAGTCTCCCGGGCTCCCTCTCGATGGCCCCACGTGGCGCTGCTCCCACCTTCCTGATCGCCCCTTCCTTCGTGAGCTGCTTGACTATCACCGTCTCCAGCTGATGGTACGTGTGATGCATCTGCAACTGGAACCTGCAGTTCTCCTGCGCCCCGTTGCCGGCCTGCTTCCCCTTTTTGCGCCTGACGCGGAACACGGGCACTGACGATGTTACGATCCCCGCGTTCCCATTCAATACGCAATCCGTGTAGTACTTCTCGGATAGGTCTCGCTCGGTTCCTGCCTCGCGCACGCGGCCCAGGTAGATTAGCACCACTGTCCGGATCTTCGCGCGCGGGCTGCCCAGCGATGCGGTGTCCACGTTCTCCCCGCTGGTTGCCCTTCTGCGCAAGTCCTGGGCCGCGTCGTTGTGGTCCTTGCCTGCTGTCAGCTCGACCTTGGACACCTCAGCGTTGGCGCCGATCCCCCACGCCTGGATCACCGCGGAGGCGCGTTCTGCTTGTTCTCGCGCCGATGTGAGGGCCAGCCTGGCTGTGAAATCCACCACCTGCGCGTTGGCTGGCTGCCCTCCTTCTGCCGCTCCCGCTGCGCCTGCTCCCGCTTGCGGTCTCCTCGGTTGCCGGCTGCGATCTGTTCGCGGTGGGCCTCCTGGCACTGGTGCGGCTGGCGTCCACTGCGGGCGCTGATCGAATAGTGCCATCTCTGTCGCGCGGTCGGACTGTCTGTCTCGGGAGGTGCGTCCCCAAGTGCTGAGAGCAGGTCCCTTGATCCAAAGCTAGATGGCTGCAGAGAGGGCAAGTCGTTCCAGGCGCTGTCGCTTCGCATTGGTCCTGTGTTCTCTCAGGGTCGCAGCTTCCCCTCACCATGCTCCTGGCCAGGTGTTTCTACGCGGCTCGTCGACTCGTGAACGTCTGATGGCAGTTGATGCATTGGTTGTTCGTAGTAAGGAAGGCCGCGAGGTTATGTATGTGGTGCGATCTGATGATGTGGATGTGCATCGCTTTCTTGCTGGCGAGCAGTAAACCGCATTCGTCCCCGTTCTCTCATAGTTCGCATTTCCAAGGCTGGAGGCATCGCAGTGCCATGTCTTCTCGATTTTCGTCGATTCGGGCCTGTCCAGGAGGAGGAACTGAAATGGTAAGTGTTGCTGCCCGTACTTCTCTAGCGTCTAATAGGTGTAGTGGCTCCCTGGTTTCAAGCGTGAACATTTCCCCGATCGTCCCCGATGATGTTTCGGAAGGTATCCGAGATCTGGCAAGCTTTCTGGACGTCCTCTACGAATCGTCGGGCCCGGGGGTTCGTGTCCGCCGTCACGGGGCTATCGTCGTCCTCGGTCTCAGCGTTTTCTTCTCGATTCGGACAACACGAAATGCGGCGCCGTTCGGCCTCGGCGCTCTCGAATCCGAGGCCTCGAACATGGCGACGATGAGTTGACGGTGGTTGTTCGGGAAACGGATGATTTTTTTGTTGCCCAGCCAAGTCTGCGGACCAGTGCTTCTTCCGCTGGCGGCAATATTTGCCAGAAGCGAAAGACCTCAAGCGCCGTCATGCTGCGGATGGACCCATCTAGCCTGTAAGTCGTAGCTCACCCCATCATGGCTCGGCGCATTAGCGCGCCCATGGCACCCTGCAGCGTGGCGTACTCGTTGGGCATCGGCAGGAAGCAATCGATGCAAGACAGTCCTGTGTTGGTGACCCTGCAGATCAATACTGCCCGCTTCCATCCGTAGCGGATGTTCTTCTTCGTCCAGAAGCCGCCGCACTCGTAGCAGCTCTCCTTCATCGCCTGGACTCTCTTCTGCAGCTCGTGGTGGCAACTCTGCGTCGCCGTCACGTGTGGTCCCAGGTACCTCGCCGCGTCCTTCACCGTGCCTGGCATCCTGTGGTGTTGGCCCTTCCTGGTCTGGTGGGCTCTCGCCTTCCCTGCGCCCTGGAAGTGGACCCACCGCTGGGGGGCTGGCCCTGGCCCACCGGCCGCTGGAGGCCGGGTGGGCGCCTCAGCCAGCATGGAACAGTCTCGGCACGGTGTGTTCGACTACACGCAAGATTTGTGGATGCCATGACATTGGACACTCTAACTATCCTATCATTGAATTAACGATGTGTAAAAATGGGAAACATGTTCCAAACATGTTTCAAACATGATGTTACAAAGTTAAAACATGGTTGACAGATTTTTAGACATCTGGAAATTATTTCGCAGCACGCTTCCTCTCCACTAATCGACTTCCACAACTCAAGAATGACCGCTCCAAGCACCACATTCCAACCCGCCCGCGCAACCGCAACCGCAACCGCAACCGCAACCTGGCGGAACATTTCGACCCGCACGCGAAAGTGCAACCGCAACCACAAGCACGCGACATATGTCAACCCGCCTGCGCAACCGCAACCGCAACCGCAACCATGCGACACATTTCAACCCGACCGCGCGCGTAACAGCAACCGCAACCAGGCGGTATATTTCAACCCGACCGCGCAGGCGCAACCGCAACCGCAACCAGGCACCAAATTTCAAACCGCCCGCGCAACCGCAACCGCAACCGTAACCAGGCTATACAATTCAACCAACCCGCGCAGCCGCAACCGCAACCGCAAGCGCAACCAAGCGACACATTTCAACCCGCCCGCGCGCGCAACCGCAACCGCAACCAGGCATCACAACTCAAGCCGCAACAAAACCGCAACCGCCAACCAGGCGACACATGTCAACCACCACCGCAACCGCAACCAAGCGACAAATTTCAACCCAGCCGCACAATCTCAACCCGGCCGCGCAACCGCAACCGCAACCAAGCGACACAATTCAACCCGCCCGCGCGCGCAACCGCCACCGCCACCGCAACCAGCCGACACATCTAAACCAGGCCGCACAATCGCAACCGCAACCGCAACCAAGCGACACATTTCAACCATCCCGCGCAACCGCGGCCGCAAACGCAACGAGGCACCACATTTCAACCCGCCCGCGCAGACGAAACCGCAACCGCAACCAGGCGACACATTTCAACCCGCCTGCGCAGCCGCAACCGCAACCGCAACCAAACGACACATGTTTACCCGCCCGCGCAACCGTCCGCAACCGGGCGGCGCACTTCTACCCGCCCGCGCAACCGCAATAGTTAACCAGACCATACGTTTCAAACCAGCCGCGGGCGCGCGTATCCGCAACCGCCCGTCGCCGGCGCATTCTCGGCGCCCCCACCGCGCGTCCGAAGCGCCCGCCCCACGGCTTTCTCGGGCCGCGCGAGAGACGGACGGGGAGGACGAAGAGGACGCTGAGCAGGAGTAGGGGGGGGAGGAGGAGCAGGAGGAGAATGAGGGGAGGGGGGAGGAGGAGGTGGAGGAGGACGAGGAGGAGCAGGAGGATTAGGAGGAGGCGGAAAAGGAGGAGGAGGAGGAGGAGGAGGATCGGGCGGAGGAGGCACAAGAGGAAAACGATGGGGGGGAGGGGGGGGGGGCCATGAAGACGAAAAGGAGGAGGAGGAGGAGGAGGAGGGGGAGGAGGAGGATTTGGTGCAGGAGCAGGGGGACGAGGAGGAGGAGGAGGAGGAGGAGGAGGAGGAAAGGGAGGACGAGCAGGGCAGGCAGGCTGGCCGGGAGGAGGAGGAGGACGATGGATAGGGGAACGCATGGGTGGGGGTGCTTGAGGAGGTGCAGGACAAGGTGCCACTGGTGGAGGACGACCAGTGGCGCGATGGGAAGATGGAGGGCCAGGAATCATGAGGAGGAGGAGGAGGAGGAGAAGGAGGAGGCCGATGAGGAGGAAGTCGCAATGGAGGCGGGGGGCGCAGGAGGCGGTGGCAGCACACCATCAGCAAAATGGGAGGACCTGGGCGTGGAGGTGGATGTCCTGCTCGCGGTTTCCGGGCATTCCCCGCGGTTCTCCGCCGGAACATTGCAGCGGCTGCTGCCTGTGATTGCGCGAAGCCGGCTGAAGGCCGCGAAGCTGGAGGACGGTAAAACCTGGTCCTGCCATTTCGGCCGATGCTCGTCTTCGCAGCGCTGGGAAAGGCCACCGCTTGTGCACAGATGCACGGCGGCGAGGCATGTCCCTCACCCACCTCCTGGGAGATGAGAGTGCGGTTTACCTGCCTCCCCCTCCTCAGGAAACCAACCAACGTCGGCGCGTGTTGATCCGCGAAGGTAGCAGCGCTAGCTCGGGCGACTGGGCCAGCGCGGCGGGGCGTTGTGTCTTGGGATCGCCGTGTGGCGCTGCGGAAGAAAGAGAAAGAAGGAGAAAGAGGAGGAAGAGTGACAGTACCCTGGGGGGCGACGCGAGTCTCCCAAAGCGGAAGCGGAGGAGGAGGAGGATACCAGGGAGGAGGAGGAGGGGAGGAGGAGGAGGAGACACAGCGTAGGAGGAAGAGGCAGAGGAGGAAGGGCTGGAAAGAAGGGTGAGGCTGGCTGCAGGCCGCCGCGGACGGGGAAATCGGGCGCCGCCGTCGGCTCAGACGTCATCCCGCCGGAAAAAGGATGGGGCGGGGGAGGGTAGGATAACACCTGACAGGAGCAGCAAGAAGGCAGATAGCGGCGATAAGGAGGAGGATGGGCGACAGGTGGATGACTGGGCGGAGAAGAAGAAGCAGAGAGAAGTTAGACGGCGGACGGCCGAGCAAGATTCTGCCTTCACGCGCTCGTACGTCAGCCAACTGAAACACAAACTCCACCAACGCGACACGGCACAAACAGCAGCCGAAGGACGGCACCACTCGACAAGAAGTGGGAGGGAGAGGAAGCGAGAGGTTCAGAGCTACAGATTAATGCGCAGCGGAACGCCAAACAACTATGATTATATGATGCGTGACGCGTGTATATAAACATACAGAAATGCACACACACATGAATACAAACATACCTGCAACTCAACATGTATGCATGCATACCTACAGACATTCATGCATACAAGCATACATGTATACACATATGCATACCAGTATACAGACACACATACATGCATACAAACATAAACACTTACACACGTACATACATACATACATACATATACACACATACGGACATGTATACATACATACATACATACATACATACATACATACATACATACATACATACATACATACATACACACATACATATATGCATACCTACATACACACGCGCACGTGAATACATGCATGCATGCATGCATCCAACGTTCATGCACACACATGTATGCATGCATGCGTGCATTCATGCATACATACAAAAGGCATGTATGCATGTAAGCACGCATACATGCATATTTACATGCATACAAACATGCATGTGCGTATACATCCGAACATGCATATACACATACATGCGTGCATGTATACGAACATACGAACACCTGCATACATGCATACACGCATACATACATGCATTCATGCATGCATTCATGCATGCACGCACGTAACCACACACGTACATAGTTACGTACATACATCCATACATGCATATATACATACGTGCATGCATACATGCATATACGCATGCAGATATACATGCAAATGTGCATACATGCATACATGCATGCATGCACACATACATGGATGCATACATGCATGCATGCATGCATGCATGCATGTGTACATACATACGCATACATACAGACAGACAGACATACATACAGGCATACATACATACATACATGCATACATCCATACATACACGCAGGCATGCATACATGCATACCTGCATAAGCGCATGCATATATATATATATAGATATATATATATATATGTATATATGTAAATATACATATATATACACAGGCTTACCTACATACATACATACATACATACATACATACATACATACATACAGACAGACAGACAGACAGACAGACAGACAGACAGACAGACAGACAGACAAACATACAACTACGGGGTGACGAGCGCGTCACGCACGTGAGCACGGCGTGCTCCATCGAGCTGTGTCCATGGTAGTCATGAGAATGTTACCTTTGGCGTCCCCTTTCATAGAATACGGGGGCGGCGCCAAGGGGCCAGCTGCTTGAGACCGGCAGAATCATCTGATGGGTTTCCTCCGTTGCGCAGGAGGGTGAGAGCCAGCGAACCGCCCAAGGAAGGCTCCAAGTGACCATGCGTCCTCCCAGGCATGTTCCCGAGTGGCACACATCAAAAACTAGTATGTTTGCCATCTCGCCTCGTCGCTTCCTAGCGGCTTGTGGATCCTCGAGATGGCTCCAAGCTGGCCCAACGGGCCCCACGAAGGGCCCAGACGAGGCCCAATCGGCCCCTAGTAGCGCCCAGAGAGGGCCCCGAAGGACTACTCGACTACTCGTCGGGCTCAATATGTGCGACGCCCATCAGAGCCGCCCAATTCGCTCAAACCCCAAACACTTGAACAGTCGCAGGTGCTTGAAAAGCTGTAACACATCGGGGGCATCATTGGGACGCTGCTGGGCCAAGATAGCTCCAGCATGGCTTCAGATAGCTCCAAGTGGCTACAGGATGCCGCAGGATAGCTCGACATACCGGCGGTGTCCT